ATTTTGGCCACCTGATGCAAAGAACTGACTCATTTGAAAAGACCCTGATGCTGGGAAAGATTGAAGGCAGAAGGAGAAGGAGACGACAGAGGATGAGATGGTTGGATGGTATCACCAACTCAATGGACATGAGTTTGAGTAAACTCCAGGATTTGGTGATGGACAGAGAGGTCTGGCGTGCTGTAGTCCATGGGGTCACAAAGAGTTGGACATGACTGATAGACTGACCTGAACTGATAAAATATCTGTCAGAAAGTATTCAATGTTTGTGGTGTGTTCTTACCAACATTCATTACTTTCAGGGTGAATAAGCATCTTTAATCAATGATATGGAAAGCCATACCTACCATGTACACAGTACCATTAAGACTTGAGACTGTGCCCATATTCTGCTTATTTCATTGTTCTCATTATACCTACATGTTCACACTGTTTTAATTACTTGCTTCTTTAAAATACAGGATTATATCTTGTGGGACAAATGCTTCTAACTCAATTGGCTTCCACAAAAAAATGTAGTATGTCACACATTTATCTTTCCAGATGAATTTTAGAAAGATTTTTCAACATGTAACATAAAGTGTGAGTTTGAAGGAGGTTCAGAGCGTATGTGATTTTGAAAGACACAAAGATAAATTTAAATAAAATTGAAATTATTACAATATTAAGATTCCATAACCAAAATACAAATGTATTTTTCCATTTATTAACATTTAATTTTATGTCCTTCAATAGGATTTTATATTTATCTTAGTGTCTGCATAATACTTAGAGTCTGCATAACACTTTCCAATTTTATGCCTAGATGTTTTATAATTTCTCCAATATGTTTTCTAAAAGATGATTACAGGTATATGTTAAAGTTTATCATTTATTCACTTGTAACTGACTACCTCATCTGACTGTTATTATTTCTAGTAGTTTCTCAGTTGATTTTAAAATATTTTCTAATTGGCTAATCATGCCATTGACAACCTCCTTTTCTTATAGGTTATGTTAATTTCTGTTTGTTGAATCCCACTGACTCCAACTTCTGATCAGTGTTATAGTAGTGAATAGAAACCTCTGCTTTGCTCATGAAATTAAAATAATAATTTTTGTTTTATTGATCATATATAAAGCTCACTATTGATGTTTATCTCCTTATAGATCTATGTTATGCTGAGGAAATATCCTCCTAGTCTTATTTATTTCACTACAATATGTTTATCAGATATTGTTTGAATTCAGTGAAATCATTATTAACCTGCATTAAGATAATATATTTTTTCTTTCATGTATTGATATGAATTATGCAAGTGTATATACTAGTGTTAAATCAAGATGATTCCTGAATTGTTCATTTGCTAAAGTGCTTTATATTTTATACAAATCTAGATTCTATTTATTAATAGTTCATTTTATATAAGTTAAATGAACAGGGTGACAATATACACCCTTGTCATACTCATTTCCCAATTTGGAACCAGTCCATTGTTCCATGTTCAGTTCTAGCTGTTGTATCTAGACCCACATACAAGTTTCTCAGGTGACAGGTAGGGTAGTCTGATATTCCTATCTCTTTAAGAATTTTCCACAGTTTGTTGTGATCCACACAGTCAAAGGATTTCATGTAGTCAATGAAGCAGAAGTAGATGTTTTTTCTGGAATACCCTTGCTTTCTATATGATCCAATGAATGTTCACAATTTGATCTCTGGTTCCTCTGCCTTTTTCTAAATCTAGCTTGTACATCTGGAAGTTCTTGTTTCATGTACTGTTGAAAATTAGTTTTGAAGGATAAGTGTATCTGCTATGAATTTTTTGTCATGCTTCGTGAGATTTTCACACTAGGATTATGACAGATTTAATAATAATTAGAAAGTATTTCCTTTACAGTCTCACAATGGAAAATCTTACATATGTAAGGTGTAAGATCTATAAGTCTTATTGGGGATGCTCCCCTGGGGGCTTTTCTGGTAGCTCAGACAGTAAAAGCGTCTGCCTACAATGCGGGAGACCTGGTTTTGATCTCTGGGTTGGGAAGATTTCCTTGAGAAGGAAATGGCAACCCACTCCAGTACTCTTGCCTGGAAAATCCCATGGACCGAGAAGCCTGGTAGGCTACAGTCCATGGGGTCGCAAAGAGTCGGACACGACTGAGTGACTTCGCTTCACTTCACTTCCCCTGGGTTTGGAATATCCCCTGGATAAGGGAAAGGCTACCCACTCCAGTATTCTGGCCTGGAGAATCTCATGGACTACAGTCCATGGGGTGGCAAAGAGTCGGGCACGACTGAGTGACTTTCACTTCACTTCACTTCTGTGATATTATCCTTTAGGTGTTATTTCTTCCTTGCTTCTTGGTCCATTAATTTTTGTAAGATATAGATAGAGATATATAAAACCACATAGGTATATAACTAACAAAAATATATTTATAGTGAATGGGCATATCTATAAAAATATATAGCTATATATATGTATAAATATACATGAGAACCAGGAAATTTATCGATACATATATATTGTTAATATTAATGTATATATAGTATTTGTTGTTGTTTACTTGCAAAGTCATGTCAGACCCTTTTGGGATCCCAAGAACTATAGCCCACCAGACTCCTCTGCCCATGGTATTTCTCAGGCAAGAATACTGGAGTAGGTTACCATTTCCTTCTCCAGGGCATCTTCTTGACCCAAGGACTGAACCTGTGTCTCTTGCATTGGAAGGCGGATTTTTTTTTTTTTTTTTTTTTTTTTTTTTTTTTTTTTTTTTNAGGGACGACCAAATGTTCCTTAATTTTCTTTCGAAGTATAGACTATCTGACAGAAATTATCCAGATAGTTTACAATATGATAAACTCTATACATTTCTTCTTATTTTCAGAGTTGGCAAATTCCCATTACCACACCCCAAATTTTTTGGTTCTCTTAAGTCACTTTTTTGGGAGGGTGTTAATTAGTTTGCTTTTCCAATTTGCTTTTGCATCACTCCGTTTCATTGAAATCAAAACAAACTTTTCATTGTTCTTTCATTGTTTAGCTTTACAGATAGACTAACATTATTTATAGTGAAGACTACTCAAACATATTCAAATTATAGGTAGATTACTAACAATCATAAGCAACAATATGTAAAAGACTTCAGTCTTGTCATAGCCTTACATCATTTGAGAATCCAGATGCATATTCTAGAATAATACAATGTCCATTTCTTAAAATCATAAAAGTCAATTTTCAGATTCATATGGGCATAAATCAATGCTTATAAATATACAAAACTAATTGTTTCCTATTAAATATCATGGTGTTTCTGTAAGAAGAAACAATAAAAGAAGATAAAATTTCATAGAAACTATTTAGATAATTTGAGCTCCCTAGAAGCTCTAAATAATTGGAAGCAATCCACCTTTTTCTTGGAGATGTTTTTAATTCACATTTTGTATCATCATAAACTTAAAAACTAAAAAAAAAAAAAAAACTGAAAATGAAAAATATATGTTTTGTATTCAGGTTATTGCATCATGAAACAAAGAGGCTTTTATGTATCAAAACTGGTAGATTTATTCTCAATTTTTCACCTCTTTCCAAATTTCTCTGTTTCTATAGCTGTTACTAAAAGAGAAAACAGTGTCCAGATTTCTTGTGTGTAATTTGAACCATTATGATATTCCTCTTCGGAGGGATTAATAAAGGAGTCATTAAAATAAAAGCCCTTAGATCACATCACTGAGAAAAAAATCACGTGATTTATATATGTAACAATTTGGGCAATCCTTCCCTTGGGCTTCCCTTGTTGCTCAACTGGTAAAGAATGCTCTTGCAATGTGGGAGACCTTGGTTTGACCCCTGGGTTGGGAAAAACCCCAGGAGAAGGGAAAGGCTACCTACTCCAGCATTCTGGCCTACAGCAAATAGATGGACTCTACTGAGCAATTTTCACTTCAGCAGAAACATGAATCCCAGAAATAAAAGAGCATATAGAAGCAACAAGTAAGGGATGGTAAGGTACTAGAAACTGTACTGACAGACAAAGTCTGAGTGAGCCTCAGTCATAACTATATTGTTGGGAACTAATTCTAGAAAGAGTTCTCACCCTGAATGGAAAATCTAATCTTCTGTGTTCCAATAGTCCAAAAGAACAATGGAAGTAGTAGCACTCTCTTCTATAGTATTCCAAAAAAGACTTTCACTTGTAACCAGCATATATACTTAGTGGTTATTGGGAGATTTGTTAAAACAACCATTAGATTTGATTTTGTACCTCAAAAGGTCTCCCTAACAGTAAGATTTAAGCCATAAATATGAGCACTAGTAAAATTACCAATAGTCACACGATCAAGGAGACAATATTTTGATGTCCAGCTCAGTGACAGCAAATAAAAAGGTTAAGGTTAAATTGACATTGTCCCTGTCAGATAGAAACTGTATATAATACATGATGTTTAAATGATGGCCAGGAGTTTCCCCTGAAAAGTTTTTAAAATTAAGAATAAGTAATACCATACCTATCTTTGATAAGTCAGAGTCCATGCTTGTCCTCTAAGTGGTTGAGAGTGTTCCTGAAAGAGCCGATCCTTATTTTTATCTCTTTGCAGTTAAAATGTAGAATTTGCAAACTATTTTCATCTAATTTGGGAGAGGTGATTGCAATGTACTTAAAATATTTTTAAAATTTTAAATAATCTAAGTCTGTGGTCCCCATTATTTCTTGAATCCTATCCTGTCCTATGTTTATAAAAAAAAAAGAACCCCCGAATTTCTGACACTTCAGAGAATCATCACCGATTTTGGCAAAAGAAATAAGAGTTCATTAGCTAGCAGTAACTGGTGACAACAACAGAGAAATAAAATTCTGCAGAGCTGTATAAACTGATTGGGGTAAACACAAGTGAATTTGGACCTATAGGAACAAAGTAAATGCAAACTAGGAAGTGGGGGGAGGGCAGCATGAGGGGCTGAAAGGATGTGACGTCACAAAGCCAGCTGGCTCAACAGTGTTACCAACACTGTTAATTGATCTAGGAAGCAAAAAGTGAGACTTCCTCTTGTCGACCTGGCCATACTTTCTTCACTGGCTTTCCCACACCTACGTTAGTGCTAGGTCATCCATCCTTGGTTCCTAGGATATTGAAGACAGGTCTCTAGAACATGGAGGCCACTTAAGAAAGTTCAACGGAGACCTGAAGCCTGGGTCAGGGCACCTCAATGGAGTCGAATAGTTACAGTGCTACAGATGAAGTTCTTGTCTCAAAAAAGGGCAAGAGAAAGTGGAAACGGTACTTGCCAACTGAGTCGGTGAAGATCCTCTATGACTGGCTGTATGAACACCGGTTTAAGCCTTATCCTTCAAAGGTAGAGAAGTGCATGCTGTCAGAGCAGACCAGTTTGTCTTTCCAGCAGATTTCTAAATGGTTCATCAATGCCCGCAGACGCTTTCTTCCGGAAATGCTTTTAGAGGATGTAAGTGACCCCAACCAGGTTACCATATATCACCAAAAAGGCAGTGCTGCTGATGTGACCCACCAGCAGGGTGGCTATCTATCTATTGATGCCAAGTCAGGGCCCAGAGATCCAGACACGATAAAATGTCTGCCTCTGAGCCCCTCGCTGATGGAACAGGGATCAGGGGAACTGCCAAATCAAGAGATGGTCCCAGGCCAGAGGCTCATCCCTAAGGCCCAATTAAATGAAAAGTTTGAGGTTTTCAACAGTGGGCCCTTGCTTATATCGTCTCCCGAACCTGTGGTGACAGGGGAGTGCACGGATTTCAGCAACTTCCAGCTGCTGGTTGATGCAGCCGTACAAAAGTCTGCCGAACTGGAGCTCCAGAAAAAGCAAGAGACTAACTCATGATTTCCCGTGTCTCTAAAAATTCCTGGTAGTCAGTCCCTTGGTAGATCTATTTATGCTCCCCAAACCCACTTGCAGTTTTGTTTTATAGAGGCATCTTTCCTTCCAGGGGTTTATTGAGAACTATCACTAGCTGGTGGGACTCAGTTCTGCCAGGTAGTTCGGTGTTGCCAGATGAAACAACTTGTCATCATGATTAACACTACATCAAGGATCTCTGTTCTTTCTTTTGCTTCCCTGAGGATTTAAAGGCTTCAATCAGACCAATACATCAGAGACTAGACACAATGTTAGGACTTCAGAGAAGAATGTTTTGGCTTTTCTAATCAGAATTTTTGGTCCCAGAGATGCTGCAGATACCAAGTCACCCCTCTTTCTCCCAATCTCTTGCTTATTAGCATGAATAATGGAAAGGAAAGACTCTAAAATAAAGATTGCTATAGCTGCACAGGCCTCATTTTAACTTTGGAGTTTTTGTAAAATTGTCAACTCTGTTTTCCTTTGAACAGTTTATCAGCAATCTTAAGGAGTAGCTAATTTCGGTAAAGGGATAAGTATGAGAGTCAAAATACAGTGAATTCATAAACATGTTACAGGGGAGGGTGAACTCTTATTTGGGGTACAAGTGAAAAGTATGCCGTACAGATAAGACAATTCTAAATGTNTCCAAGGGACTCTCAAGAGTCTTCTCCGACACCATAGTTCAAAAGCATCAATTTTTCAGCACTCAGCTTTCTTCAGAGTCCAACTCTCGCATCCATACATGACCACTGGAAAAACCATAGCCTTGACCAGATGGAATTTTGTTGGCAAAGTAATGTCTCTGCTTTTAATATGCTATCTAGGTTGGTCATAACTTTCCTTCCAAGGAGTAAGCATCTTTAAAATCTGAGGAATCTGAAGCTAAAAATTGGACTCTAGCTTCACTTTCTACTCTTGCCTGAAGTGAAATAGACCATATGTGGTCTATATATATTGCTATCTAAGTACTGGCAATTTTGAATCAAAGATACCCTATTTTATTTAAGTCTCTTAAGAAACAATGTTTACAGGCTATTACTCTGGATATTATAATTTTACCAGGAAAGAAGGAAGCCTACTTCCCAAACTTTTACTCTTGCAATAAAGTAGGTTTACATTTCTAAAGTAAATGTGGATTCAGGGGGGTTTGGAAGGAAGAATGGCAAGAATATTGATTATATGCTTATTGAATATAAGGTCCTTAAACGCCCTTAAACACCCAGTGAAGCTCCCATACCATATCTTCTTATCTCTTATCTGAACCACGTTCTCTGTGTGTGCATAGGTGTTTATGCTCGCTCAGTTGTGGCTAATTCTTCATGACCTCATAAAATTGTACCTTGCAGACACTTCTGTCCGTGGAATATTCCAGGCAAGAATACTAGAGTGGGTTGTCATTTTCTACTCCAGAGGATCTTCATGACCCAAGAAATGAATCCAAGTCTCTTGCCTCTCCTGCATTGTCAAGCAAATTCTTTACTACTGCACCACCTAGGAAGCCTGGGCTCTTACTCGGAAAAAAAAAAAAAAAAGAAAGAAAAATCTTGTTATCTGCATGGAATGATTGTTTTTAAGCTCAGTCTATACAATCTTGAATGCTTCCTACTTGGTTTTATAAGTTTTATGTCTGAGAGGTTACCCTTTCTCAGTGGCTATGTGGAAAGTTTTGTATTTTCCTTCTCTTTTAACAAATCCTATTTGTTGCTACCATGAACATTTACATATTTGTGAAGTTCATTCTTTGGCTTCTCAAATAAGAACTCAGATTCCCCTTTCATTGAGATGTTCTCTATAAGTATGCAAATGCTTTTTTTTGTTTTTTAGAAACTATCACTGGTATTTATGCTTACCAATCTATAGAATGCTAATATAAATGTAATTTGTGGTTTCCTAAGGAAAGTAAGATGCGTGTTTTCAGTTAAGAATTTACAAAGAATGGAATTGCATTTTATGAAGGGAACAGGAAGTAGGTCTGACTTACAGGTGGCTATTTCAGGACAGCAGAAGAAAGTATTGGGTACAGAAAGTGATAAGATTGTGGAAAGTGGGCCCGAGAAAAGTTTTGTACGTGGTTAGGACTGACTTAGCTTAAAGTAAATTTAATTAAGTTTACCTTTAAATGTATTTAAAAATAAGCTGGTGCAAAAACTTGTTAATCTTCAAGAAGATTAACAGAAATGACTTTTGGATAAATACAAGTTTCTAAACTGGATAGGGAATGAAAGGATTCTATTGAGAAACCTGATGACTTCACAAAGGTTAAAAAAAGGACTAAATGAACTGGTAAATATGCTTATAATTTCTATGGTTTCTATCTTAAAATCACTGGTTTGAAACTATGTTTTCCAGGTTTAAGAAAAGCTTCCCCTCAAGCTAATTATGACTTAATAATTTGGTGAAATTATACTTCATAATAAAAATTAAAGCATTTAACTTTTTTCTCTCTCTGAACCCTCCAGAGTGTGGAAACTCTTAGGTTTCCAGTAACTTCATCAATATAAGTTAGGAAGGTTTATCTCATTAACAGGTACAAAAATCTCAAGAAATTTTGGAGACCTTGAGAAGGGAGAAATTCATTTAGATCTATTAGGGAAACTCTGTGATAAGATTTTTGTTTGATTTCCCTAGCCTTGAAAAGTTTTATTTGAAAAATTCATTCTGAGACTCTAAAAGTTTCACCAAAGCAAAAAAAGTCTATGATGAATTATGGTTATATAAATAATAGGGCCAAGTTTATTGAGATCAGACCTATTTCACAAACAAGTCTTAATGTGGCTGTATTTGGCAAAACTGAGTGTGACTTTAGGGGGAAAGAGATGTTTCAACAAACGTTAAATCCCAGTGTGCTAATGGAGGTCTGATCTACTAAGATTCATTTTCTGGATAGTTCTTTGCTGTTAGTGAAATGGGAATCCAAGTTCTTGTCCCCAGAGACAAAGAATGGAATCCATGAACATGTAAGCACTCACAGTAGCAAGCAAATGGGAATTATTAAGGAGGAGGAATTACAAAGCTCTCATTATAGACACTGAGAGAGGGTAAAGAGTCCCTCCAAGCTGGGACTTACAGTAGTTTTTGTATCCTTCCTTAAATCACATGATTTCTAATCAATCAATTCAAAGGTGAAGATACTTAACATCTTTATGGCTTCTCTTCATCCTTGGATTAAGTCACCCCCCTTTTTTCACGCCCTCTGGCTCAGATATATGGGCTTACCATAGATGCATGGGCTTAAGATTAATGATCACCAGTTGTTTTACCCTCAAGCATATGGAGCAGAATTTAGTTACTGCCCTTCCCTAGAT